ACTATGAGGCCATGACTTCTGTCAAACGGCCAATGAGCTACGAATCAGCATTTTAAACCTAACCTATGATAATGTATAAGGCATATCTTACAAAGAAATCATGGCATCTTACAAAGAATCAAGTTAAACTGCCAACTTCCACCTGAGCCGGTATCATTTTATTTTTGATGGCTATCCTATTACTCTATTGTGAAATAAACTCTCTTTTAAGGCTCATATTAGTATACTCATTATTATATATTATACTCAAGATTATTTCTTAAGCCCCTAAAATATGAGACTTTAACTGCAACCCGTTCATCTGAAATCTTAATCTATTTAGCCTTAAGCTATATGTTTATGATTGATAATACTGTACTTACTTGTCATTTTTGGATACCTTTGCACGAACTTCCAGTAGCACAAGGTATATAAAAAGTAAGATATCAAAATGGAAATCCATACGTTTTTGTCAAAGATTTGCACCAGAGCTTTCCAGTGATGAAGAAGAGGTTTAGGCCGTGGAACTATGAATGTGAACTTGACCTGCAAGAATTTGTATAGTATATTTCTTGAATAATTGGAACATGAATAGGTATAAAGCCCTTTGATCATAACCCTTAGACCAATCAAGCATAACACTAGCAGATTAATGTATAAAACCATAGATTTATAAAACAAAACTTTGAACATTTGTTGCCGTGTAAAACAGTTTAAGGGTTAGAATTAATTCCAAGCTCCTGCCTAGCAACTTTCTCGAGAAGCCTCTTGGTGTCCTCTTAGTCATTAACAGATGCCAATAAGGAGATGTCCATTGCATTTAATAAATAATTATTTAGTATATAATGATAGTGTACTAACTTTATATGAGGTCCAAGGTCCATAATGATGAAGATACCAGATACCTTTACTGTATAACATGCTGCAGAGTTCATTTTAGCCTGTCTCTATTTGGACAGCTACCTAACGTCCATTAGAAGACGCTATGGACCTTACATTTTACATTTACTAAATGCAGCTGTTACTACATGATACTGTACCACATTTAGAGGAGGCCCAAAGTCCATGATGTCAAAGGTGTCAAGACTATACCACATGTTGCAAACCCCTATCTCTGCCTTTCCCTCGTATACTGCTCTGGTGATGCCACCTGTCCAACTACCGTTGACCCGATGACCCCAATGACCGTTCAACTCCACTACCTTTATCGTGAAGTTCAAAAGTCTCGCCAAGCTTTTCAAGACTTCCCATTCAATTCCGGTTATGTTATCTGCAACGAAGATATATGATTTGTTAAAAAGAAAAGAATTTCTTAAGTGTGTTTGTGTAAAAAGAACAGAAAAAAATAGTGCCCATGTAAAATTCTGTTATTGGTATTTCAATTACTAAAAAATGAACGTTAAATTTATCCGTAAACGAACTGGGTATTAATGCTCAATTAATTTTTCGTTAATTTGTTTTATTAAAGAACTTGGGTAAAACATTTTCAAAGTGGACGATGACTTTGATATTGTCTCATTAAATGCAAGGACTTGAATTTCTATGTTCGTATATCTAGTTGAAATATGCCAGTTAAAAATGTGTGGTTTAATATTTCTTTTAAACAAGTTTTCGATGACAATATTGTATTTGCAATGTAGGCGAACATTATATAAGATTTTGATTTTGAACTATCTGAGTTTTAACAAATTGCTAAAAAAATATTCAACTAAATCACAGGGTTAATCTAGATAAAGAAGCACATCGTAAAATGCTTTAAACTACTATAACCACACATAAAACTAACCTGTATCATTTTTATCCTCAAAGTTGACAAACGGAGGACAGTCGAAAGTGGCTACACTTACTGCCCTTCCTTGGAGATTGACCTTACTCAGACTATCTCTCTTGGAAACATGAGTGAGATTAGAAGCAAGAAACTTCCTTCCGCTGAGCAAAGGCGAACTGAGATAGACCACCTGCGCATCCAACAGAGAAACAAAGGCTACCTGAGCAATGCCAAACTGCGCCGCACATTGGTTTACATCCCAAGGAATATCAGGTAATATGATGTAGAACCGGTGCTCTACAGTGAGTGGAAGTGAGTGTACCAGGAGGTCTTGACACGTTGATGTGTCAGTAGCTACGATGTTGAGTTGACATAACGGGGGATTATTGACGTGATTGTTAAAACTGATTACTCCTTTGAGGGACACCATTAGAACAGTGACCAGTTTCTTGATCACCTCTGCATTTCCAACCTCCTTCACACACACTTGATTGTCCGTAGTGTTGGCAAGGAAACTTAAAACATCATCTAACACGCTGGAGGTTGGCACCATGTTGTAGCTCAGATCACTCTTTGCACTTGGAATACACACCAGTAAACAGAAAAAAGACAAATAAATCATTTTGCACCGGTCTCTTACATTTTGACAGCTTTAGGATACGTTCCGGACAATTTATGAAACCTGCTTTTGTTGTTTACTATTTATTTATCCTTAATTCCCTTAGAGAAAGAACCAAAATCGTCATTTAAAATCCATCCTTATAAAATTCATCGGTGCACTCAAACGTCCCCCACAAGAAGCACACATCGAATTCGAATTTAGATTTTACAATAACACGTGAAGTTCGCTTGCACTATTTAAGGTCAATGCTGATATGCGATAATACAATTGTGAAAAAATGTTCTTTTCTGTTGCAAGTATAACTATCGACTAAAATTGTATATGGAAGTGAATACTCCAGAGGTATTAGTGGACATGTATCCATCCAACGCAGTGTTATTGTTGGTGTAATGCTCGCCCATACAGGTAATAGAGAGTTTTACGAGAACGTTAGTGCTAAAGTAGCCGTTAAACTTGTATTGAGCTGTCTTTATTGAGTGTCGTTTCTATGCACTGCCTATTTAACACGGATACACAAACTGGTTTGATCTTACATTTATTTGAAAGTACTGTATTTGAATATTTGGAATGTAGAAAAAAGTGTTAAGGAAGTGAATAAAAAAATACCAAACATAGAATAACCATCTATAGCTATTTTTGAGACTAATGACACGAGCCACTAATCCAGTACTAAATTAGAGATTTTCGAATTCGTGAACGATGAATAATCAAATTTGACCATCATTAACATGTTATTTATATATTTATAGATTTTACTCGTGTGCCAATTTAGTGAGATTGTTTGAAATATAAAATTGTTAAAATTTGCAGTACTCTACTCTTATACGATACACGTGTAATAGCTATCGATTTAGGTTTAAAATTGTTTACGTTCTAAAATAGCTGAGAAAAGTACAAGAACAATGTTCTCACGGCCTTTGCGGCGCCGCTGTAAAGGCGGTGACACACTATCGATCTTTTCCCCGATCAAGACCCCGAACCGAGCAGGGAGAAGGGAGAAGGGAGATAAATATCAGCAAAATTTTACTCCGAACATTTCCCCGAACATGACCAAGACCAGACGAATTCTACCGAGCGCGGCAAAAGGAAGTTTGGAGAGAGATAGAGAGTGTGTGCGAGTGAGAGCGCGGAGGCAGTGCCGTTAAAAGTCGCATTTTGAAAACTTGTCGCAAAAATAAAATATTCTAGAAAGGATGCTTAGTTATATCTATTGATTTCTATTGGTTTTATTCATTGAAATAACGTTACAGAATGGTCATTTTAATTGCCTTTATTAATATTAATGTTTATATTATTTTTGTTTAAGTCAACATCAATTACTTAATTCAACCTTAATATTATTGATATACTTGATTTAACGGTTTCTACACTTTCAACCTTGACCAAACAAACCACAAACATTACATCTTAAATGATTATAATATATAACGGCAACATATTACCCAACATTTATTTATTTTACCAATTAAAGAGTTTAATTGCCATATTAAATCAGCCCCTTAACTTCGCGCGGCTTAACTTCGCGCGGTGAAACCGCGCCACCCCTTATTGCGCGGTTAAACCGAGCCACCCCTTATTGCGCGGTTAAACCGCGCGAAGTTAAGGGGCTCGACAACACATTGAATCAAATGAGAGTGGCCACACGAGGCGAAGTTTAGCCGCATGTGCGGTTGAGCTGCGCCATGTCGTCCCCCGACCGCGCGAAGTTAAGCCGCGTTGGGGGGGGATGACACACGTAGTCTTATGAGAGTGGCCACACGATACGGTTCGACCGCGCGGCAGCCGCGCTTATTGGAGATATTCTTCGGACATTATCAGTGGTTTTGTAGTTTGTTTTGCGTGTTTGTTACCGGTTGTGTGGTGTTCAAAGAATGTTTGATACATACAAGCTTATTGAAACTGGTCAAAAATGCTACAGACATACGGTAATAACCAACAAACTCCGAACTATGGTTTCGCATGTGCTCGTAAAAGGTTTGGAACAAAAATGGGTTTTCCGTTAGAAGGGATGGACCCAATGATTTCTGTTAACATTTGGTTCCAGATCACCACACACTGCTAATGCACAAACTAACGTACGCGTTTCGTCCATGACTAAAATGAGTGAACTGAGCTATGTTTTAATAGAGTACTGAAACTGGGAAAACCCAACAGGAAGCGGTTCATCCGCCCCGTGTGGCCAGGTACTTCGCGCGAAGATAAGCCGCGCGGCTTAAATTCGCCTCGTGTGGCCGGGGCCTAAGGGAAACTTCATCTATACAATAACCATGCTAACGTGTATTCACTTATACAATTAAAAAGTACAACTTAGTAAAACGAAACTTGACTTTAATCATGTAAAAACTAACTGACAACAAAAAGTAAACAACCTTGTTATTTGTATGTAACATATGGTAATAAATAATGTGAACTCTATACAGACCAAAAGCACGAACACTTCACCTTCTCGCCGAGATTGAACTACTGTCCTTGTCTTCAAGAAGGTTTTTATGCTTTAGTTGGTCAGCGTGTTTTTTAAAGATTCTTCTATCGTTACCTTCAACTTTCCACACGTTTCGCCCTAGTCTCTTCAAGATTACGCCGGGTTTCCACACAACATTTCCGTTTCTGGTTTCTGCCCAAAACACAGGTTCATTTATTTTGAAGTTTTTTTAGGCTAGTAGTGGCTCCTTCTTTATTCTCTTCCTCTTTTGTTTTATCTTCTTTATTTTCTTCCTCTTCTGTTTTAATCTGACTTCCTTTTTGGGGTTGAACTAAATCTAAGATACATCTTAGCTGACGTCCTAAAAACAACTCAGAAGGTGACATTCCAGAAGTTATGTGTGGTGTTAACCTGTACTTAAATAAAAAGTTGTTAAAGTCAGCTTCCAAACCTTTAGGGGATTGTTCTTGGCAAAGTTTTCTCAACGCCTGTTTCATGGTACCGACGTATTTTTCAACTTGTCCGTTGGAACACGGATGGTAAGGTGGAGTGGTTACGTGGTCGATTCCAAATGCTTTACAAAACTGTGCAAATTCTACGGACGTAAAACAGGGTCCGTTGTCTGTCACTATGGTTTTAGGGATTCCATATCGGCATATTAACAGCTTAATTTGTTTGATTGTTACTGTAGTAGTCATAGAGTTCAACTTGATAATTTCTGGCCAACCGGAGTATGCATCTACGGCCAAAAGAAAAACACTATTAAGGAAAGGTCCAGCGAAGTCCAAGTGTATACGGGTCCAAGGGTCAGTGCATCTCGGCCAATTACTGAGGAACTTTCTCTGTGGTTCTCTTGCAGCATACAAGTTGCATAGTGCACAAGTTCTTGCCACGTTTTCGATGTCACTGTCCATCGATGGCCACCAAAAACGATCTCGGGCCAACGCCTTCATCTTTTCCATTCCTAAATGAGTGTCGTGCAGGTTCATAAGTAATTTCTGCTTGAACTTTTCTGGGATAATTGCTCTAACCCCCCACATTAGGCAGCCCTCATGTATGGATATCTCTTTCTTCCTTGACTCATAGGGTTTTAACTCCAGATTGTTTGTCTTGTTTGGCCATCCACTTAATACAAACTCTTTGACCCGATTAAGAGTGACATCATTCGACGTTTCTTCACTGATTTCTTTAGCCGTAACTGGTAGACAATCTATGTTACCTGAGAATATTAATCCAACTACGGTGCTATAAAGCTAGGCGCCCACCGGGCAACCCAGCGGGTGACGCGACGCGACGTGGCACGGCGCGACGCGAAAAAAACTTCCGTCCGCTTCTCCAGGGTTCGCGCCCACCAAGCAACTCTAGCGGAAGCGCGGGGCAGCGCGGAGAATTATTCTTTTGGAGGGGATGCACAGTGCACTTCGATTCGGACCCGAACACTCCCGAAGGGCTCGCGATACTTTCCGAAAACACCCGAATGAGCGGCAGACGAGGGGCAGACGCCGTTTCCGTGCCTCTACCCCGCGCCCACCAGGCAACTCAACGGAGGCGCGGCAACACGAGAGGAAGAAATTCTCCACCGAATTCTCACTGCCGGATTCGAGAAGAAGTTTTTTTTCCACGCCGCGTTGCGCCACCCGCTGGGTTGCTAGGTGGGCGTCAGTCCATAAGATAACATGGCACGGATACGTGGCAACTTTTTTCCACGGCGTCGCGCCGCGCCGCGTCACCCGCTGGGTTGCCCGGTGGGCGCCTAGCTTTAAACAGTCAACTTTCCCAAATAGTTTAGTAGAAACGTATTCTATGTCAAAACGAAATAAATCAAAGCTAAAGCTTCTCGTTCAATTTGCGAATAATTTTGCTCTGCCTTGTTCAGTGTTTTAGAAGCATACGCGATCGGCTTCTCTTCTCCGTTAGGATATCGATGAAAAATTGCGCAACCAATCCCCACTGATGAAGCATCGGCTGCAACCACTATAGGTAATTCACTATTAAATGGCACTAGAATAGGAGTGGAAACTAAAGCATCTTTAATACGGTTAATTGACTGAGAGCATTGTTCTGTCCATGTCCATTGAACATTTTTCTGCCTTAGTTTGTTTAATGGTGCACAGATCTCAGAAAAGTTTGGGATGAACTTTGAGTAAAAGTTTGCCATTCCTATAAATGATTCCAACTGTTTAATGTTTTGGGGTTCAGGCATATCTACTATGGGCTTTATCTTGTCTTGATTCGTCGAAATTCCATCTTTGGAAATACATAGACCCAAATAGTTGACTTTTTCCTTCATGAAGTGACACTTAGCTCTGTTTAAACAAAAACCATTGTCCTCAATGCGTTTCAAAACCTCTTTGAACGTGTTTAGATGTTCAGTGTCATTTATTCCTGTTATAATGACATCATCCAGTAGGAAAGCGACCCCATCTAATCCAGAAAGCATAGAATGCATCTTTTTTTGAAAAATTGCCGTAGCAGGAGCTACGCCAAAACACAGTCGATTGTATCGCATAAGACCAAAAATAGTATTAATGACAAGGATTTTTTTAGATTCTGTGTCCATGGGAATAGAAAGGTAAGCATCAGAGAGGTCAAGGGTAGTAAATTTCTGTCCAGAACCTATCTTGGTCAATAAATCGTCTTGAGTTGGTAATGGAAACTGCTGCACCTTTAATGCTTGGTTGAGTCCCGTTGAAAAATCTGCGCATATTCTAATAGCTCCATTCGGTTTTCTTACAATCACGCATGGCGCAGCCCATTCTGAATGGTCTATTTCTTCAAGGATACCATTTCTTTTTAACCGGTCAAGTTCTTCTTTAACCTTGTCCCTTAAAGCTAAAGGAACAGACCTTGCCTTTTTAAACACTGGTGTAGCACCCTCTTTTAGGTACAAATGAGCAGTTGTCTTTGAACATTTATTTTCATTGGGTTGAAAGACGTCAGAAAACTCATCCACAAGTTTGGCAAGTTGTTGATCCGTATTTTCTACTTGTAAGGTTTGTTTATACGGTTCTGAACATATCCTTTGCAAATCGGAAAGTGATATTTTGTGGAGAAATAAAGGTGTAATCCAATCTCTTCCCAAAATATTTTGTTTGACACCCGAAGCGACAAAAGCTCTGAGTTTGGTTTTAACGTTTGCAAAAACAACTTCTACATCCATCTCACCAAGAAGTTTAACACAATGACCTGTAAATGAAGTAAAATTCTGTTTACTTAACAAAAGGTCAGGTTTTCCTATCTGTTTCCAAGTATGATCTGAGATAATTGAAGCGCAGCTACCTGTATCAAACTGCATCCTTACGATCTGGTTATTGAGTAAGATATTAAGAATAAGTATCGGGTAAAAGGTTGCCTGCTTTCCGATTGAAAGAACGTCCTGTATTCCTCCCAAAGAGTTCGTATCATTATAGCTAGTTACATCATTATCAACAACGTTACTACCGGATTCCTTTGACTTTGGACCATTCTCAACAATGTTGCTTTTAAGGTGTCGTTTCTCCACCTGTCCCGTTTTACATATTCTCCGGTATATGATTCCTACTCCCGCATTTGTAACATCTTGGATTTTTAATGTTACAATTCCTTTTCAGATGTTTACCACCACATATAAAGCATGGTCCTAGAGATAAAACATTACAATATTCCCTCTGAGAAAAACTATTTAATGAAGCATCTTTTACTGAGAAAAGAGAATTAGCTACGTTAATGACTTCTGAGAACGTTTCATAATCCTTCTCCATGAGTTTGGATCTTATATTGTTATCACATATCCCCATTACAAAAGCGGTAACAAGTGCTTGTTGGAAAAATTGAATGGGAAATTGACAATCATTTACTTTATTCCTCAAAACATTGGCAAACTCCGTCAGACTCTCGCAGCCCTGACGCAGTGAAAAAAACTTGACTCTTTCTGCAATGGCGATTTTTTTAGTTTTAAAATTGTCCAACAATAGTTTAAAAAGTTCTTCATACTTAAAGTCATTTAAATCATTAGGTCTACAAAGGTTAACCAGTGTGCTTAACACATTTGTACCCAAAGCGTTTATGAATAGCAAGCGTTTGGTTTCATCATCGTTAATTCCATTGAGTTTAAGACCTGTAGTAAACTTAATGTGCCACACATCAATCTCTACTGTGTCCGGGTCGAACAAGTCACATTTAAAATTACAAATACTTTTTTCATTACGAACTTGATCGGTACCTGGATCGTCTTGATGTCGTCTATGTCTACCTGATGTCGGCATTGTGTGAGTTCTAATTCCTCGTCGCCAATAACGTGTATTCACTTATACAATTAAAAAGTACAACTTAGTAAAACGAAACTTGACTTTAATCATGTAAAAACTAACTGACAACAAAAAGTAAACAACCTTGTTATTTGTATGTAACATATGGTAATAAATAATGTGAACTCTATACAGACCAAAAGCACGAACACTTCACATGCATCCAGTGCAAGGTTCTAGGAATAGCTTGCATTGATTATTACATATTTGTGGCATTTAGGGGTGCTGTGAAAAACTTAAAAAAAATTTATTGGGCGTGTTGTTATTCTAGTCGTTATTGTCTGCGATAGAGAGGGGTTCGACCCATAAATATGCACAAATATTTTATGTGTAGAGAATGGCTTAGCCTTTTAAAAGCTTTTATACGGCCGTTTTTTTTAAACTAGCCATTTCAATCAAGAATTGAAAATATCTACTTTACCGCATTGTTTACTTACTTTGCTTTACGCACGGTTTTTTGTTGTTTTTTTTTACAACACTATAACAAACCAATGAGGTTCGAGGATTTAGAGAAAATAAGTAAAGTTTTACTGCTTTGAACGTCAGCTGTTAAGACAAATAAACGAAAACTGTTATGAGTAGTGATTGTTAGTAATCAAACAACGGTGGTAGGTACAAGTAGTGTAAAGTACCATTGACTACCTATAGGTATATATAGTACTAGCTGTGTGCCCGTTCTACGCACGGGGATCTTATAGTAGTCAGTTGAAACCTTCTTATATTAAGATTGAGAACAGCAGTTAGTTTGCATATTTGCAGATATGCTGGCAAAACTATTATATATAAACCTTCGCAAATACAGTATCTGACAGTTCAAGCCAAAATAAATGCTTCGCAATTAAATGTCACCCGGATCGTTATGGTCCATATGTCCAATGATTAAACTAAAAAATGTTTTATAGATCCATGAAGCGTAGCCCTAAAGTAGGCCTATAATTGAAAGTTACTTTCCACATCGGTTAACTTAAACGTATTTAAAGTACTACCTCAACCTCACCATTTAACACTTTATTCCGGTTGACATTTTCAGTATCAAAGGTGCTCTTGTCCATTCCGTGAAACACTGAGAAATAAGGACATTAATGCGTTACCAACAGACATACACACAACAATCCAAAAAAGGCCAAGAACTATTGATACATAAACAATATAAAGGCGTAAACAATTCATGATGGTTTACCCAACAAATGTTTTACTCAAATAGGTTATCATTTTCTTAGCATACCGGGTAAGCTAAGATTTGGAATCCAGACAGAAAAAGCAAAACTTATACAGAGTTAAGACATCACTTAAATTGAATACGGACGGCTCTAATAAATAAGGTGCAACACCAACGATAACTAATTTGTAAACTACAGTGATGTGTTGGTACCTACGTAAAAATGATTCTAGCAGCTACCAACGGTTCTAAGGAAAAAACCAGTACCTACGTAAGAACCTACCTAAGAACTATAGTACATCCGACCAATTAAATACATTAATATCTAGTCCCGAGGTTATTGATCTCTTGCTTTTTGATTTTCTCGTAAAAAGTTATTGCGTAAACTTATCGGTGTCAGTTTAAAAAAAAAAAACAACCTTACCCAAAAAACTTTTTGTTATTTAATAGATTACGCATTCTCTAAACAATGATTAGTATATCTATTAACATTAGAAGGAAATGTGACGAAAATCACACAATGTTGGGGTTTTGGTCATTTGTAATTATATTTCTTAAGTAGGTAGGCCATGTATTCTATGGAAAAGTACCGGTA